CCGCCGAAAGCAACAACAAAACAAGAAAAAACCCTAAAAGATGCCCTTCACAAATAAAAAAAGGATTCAAACAAAAGCTTATTTTTTATCAGTTGCTATATGCTATAGTGATCCGAACAGAGCATTTGGCTTAGTTCGGAGGTTGTTGCGATATTTTGGAGTAATCTAGCAAAATTTCGTGAATATATCTCGTCAAATGAAAAAGCTCTCCATACAAGCAATAAATTCTGAACGCACATTTTGTATGGCAGCTATATGTTATAGTGGTCCGATATCGGAGGTTACGACCAATAAACAGCGTCTTGTGGAGAAAAAGATGTGTGCACAATTTCAAATCGCTATCAGACGGACAAACAGACGGTACTGACTAAATCGACTAAGCGCAACATGCTGACCATTTATGGTATATTACACAATGTGATTGGTAGCACTGGGGATAAACGACTGCAACAACCACTATGTATTGACAAAATAATCTTTTTCTATCGAAAATACTTTGTCGACTACCCAATATATATGTATATTAGTTATTTATGTTGAGGGTATTTAAGCAACAATAACAAATATTATAAAAACACATTCAAAGACATACAGCTATGCTTAAGGGGGCACGGGGACAAAAAGCGCTGTAAAAGGATTGCGCGCCGCCGCCAAGCAGCGCCGAAACGGTGTAGTAGTAATTTCTTGTATGTGTTATGTCGTCAACTCATTTGCCAGCGACATTTAATTAAGAAATTAAATTGGCAAATTTATGCATTCAATATGTGGATGTGTGGGTAGTGTGAACGAAAGTGCTATGACTGATCCGCACATTCACACACACATACCTAACTAAATATATCAATAAGCGCTCAATAAATGTCGACACACACACACACAAACACATGTGCGTATGTGTGTATGTGAAGCAATGTTGCATTGGAAATTAGCTCAAATTACCTGTACGAAAGCAAAAACAACAGAGAGGCGCCGCTTTTGATTGAAAAAAAAAAAATTCCATGGAAGGCATTAAGCCCAACGCACAATTTAGTACACACACACGTGTGTATGTATATCTATAAATATATATATATATATATGTAAATATGTATATTTATGTGACTACCTACTTCTGCGCTATATTATAAAATCATAAATTATTTTTTGAAGGTTTATGGGACATTTAAAAAATAGCGAAATCGTGATCGTGAAAGGGCTGAACCTTTTTTTGTATTTCAGTTCTCTGTGCTGCGAAAAAATTTATTTGTAACCCGACACTTTTACGTAGTGGGAGCCGCCACTACACAATTCAATTTCATTAAGGGAAAAAATTGTGAAATATTCAAATAGGGGGACAATGAGTGTGAGAAGGATTCCCTTAATTTTTTTGGCATGCGTTACCTGCTACTTACCTCTTTTGAGACTGAAAAACATATTAAAAAGTTAAAAAAAAAACGAATACTGCTTTTTTTTTTTACAAATAAAACACTCTTGGGCTTCAGTGACCGTAATAAAAAATATCTATTTATTTTTGTTTAATACACGCAATATTTTAGCTCACCTCTGCAGCTAATAACACGCGGCGTTTAAACTGATAGGAACACTAATGGGCAAAACATAGGCGAGTTTTCATTTCTATTGTTAATGAATGTTATATAGTACGTTATATGACAGCTATTTGCTCTAGTAAAACGATCTGAATAATTTCTCTGAAGATTGTAGCGCTGTTTTGAAAAATATTCTCTACCAAATTTCTTGAAGATGTCTCGTCGAACAAAAAAGTTGTCCATACAATAGCTTTATCTGGATCGTTGTTTGTATGACAGGCCAGTACCATATCCAATAGTGATCCAATATTGGCGGTTCGAAGAAATGCAGCTCCTTGGAGAGAAAGGGATGTATGCAAAATTTCAGCTCGATAGCTGATAAGCGGCGTCGACTTTCCGCATTTTACGCCGAAATCGAAAATTGAGAACTTAAAAAACATAGCTTTGCAATAACTAAAGTCGCTAATATCGAATTTCGGCTCTTGAAAAGTTAAAAAAAGAACGTTTTGAACCAAATTTTGTTAAGCGAGGATGCCTATTTCTGGCGATATACTCTGAGCTACAATTTCATCTGGAAAAACCAACGGTTTGCTGTGGTTTGTGGGCCGATAGAATCAACGGTTCATATTTCTTCAAAAATGATACCAGTGAGAAGGTAACCGTCAATGGCGACCGTTATAACCGACTATTTGATGCCTGAATCAGCGAGATCACCGATATTTGGTTTCCACAAGCCAGCGACACTTCCCACACATGGAAGCAATCAATGGATCCATTGAGGGAACACTTGGTCGATTGGCGACCAATATCAGGTGATATCATATCGTTAGACTTTGTCCTGTGGGGACATGTAAAATCTAAAGTCTATTCGGACAATTCCGCTTCGATTCATGACTTGGAGCAAAACATCACGCGCGCCATTCACCAATTACCAGTCGAAATGGTCGAACGAGTCGTCGAAAGTTGGACTCAACGGATGAACCATCTGAAACGTAGCCACGACAAACATTTAAAAGAGATAATCTTCCCTCTTCGGAACCTCAAAATGGATCAACCTTTATAATGTTAATAATATTGTAACATACAACTTTTCACTGCTTCTTTTAAAAATTATTTTTAAGAATAGACTTTCTTGGGTATAGATTTCTTATGTTCTGCACAATACTGTATAAAAGTCAAAAGGCTCTACTCGCGAACTCATTCATAGATTTACGGAGAGTGTTACCAATATTTGCTTTTTTTTAACATCATATTTCATTTTACCATATTAGTAGGAAGCCCCCCGAAAAACATTCGCTATTTAAGCCGACCTCTTCACTTCAAAAGAACATACGTGTATTCCGTTAAAGCAATCGATTGGGCACCGCAATAGCTTGCTTTTGACATATTTATAGCTATTTTATATAGCTTTTAAATTTTTATTATTTTACTTTTCTTTTTTATACAGCTGTTCCACGCGACTAAGTTTCTGCCAACCATTGAAGAGGATGTTCCTGTTATACAAACAGAGATTAACTGCCTTTTTTGGTGAATATTGGCGGCACTTTTGTGATGTTTCAAATTGATTTCGGTGGCTGTTCACATTATGAGTTTTTGGGTATAAAATTTCATACCGCCACTGTTTCAATTTGGTAAACGCTTGACTTAGCCACGTGTTAGTAGAAGAATCCTTACATCAAAATATTATATTTCCATGGTAGATACAGGCGTACGACATGTTTTTGGAAAGAGTATTAGAAAAATGTCAGTTTAACGCTGGCCCAGTTGAACTTATTTGTTTTAGTTTTGACAATGCTAGATTAATTGAGGATCTTGTTTACAGTAACCTGCTAACGTACCATATTTTCGGAATAAGTAGCATCATTTGCGGCAAATAACGTTTGAAGAAACGGGAAATAATTTCTGGATCAACTCAAGTTCTCATATTGTTAATTTCTTATATAGACCTTCTTCAAAAATGTGATATTTGAAAATTTTAGCGATCTTCAAGTGAACACGCTTCACGATCCGGGACTATTGATGCCTTAAAACTTAGTTCCTAGAGATGTTCGTGATCAACAAAAATTTACGATCCTTCAGTGATCTCAAAATGAACGATCTTCACGATCGACGACCATTGATGAATTAGAACTTAGACCACAGAGTTTTTCGTATTAAGCAGTCAGGATACAATATGGTCAAGGATAAGTAAGAAAGTAGCAATTCACTGTCAAACTGTGTAGAACATATTTGAACATTTCTAGTACTAACTAATGGCTGAATGATATAATTGAAAGGATTGCGAAGACACTCACCTAAGTGAGACCTTTTCTACAGCTGCACATATTTATACAAACTATGTTTCATTGAAATTGATTTCTAGAAAACCAATTTACTCTTCGCTTAATGACACCGCAACTGTAGACAACTTTAAGGTATAGCAAACCTTGCAAATGGCTCATGGACTTTGTAAAAGGCAATCCTTCGCTTGAGTCAATCAGTAATGAATTAGTTGGAATGCGGTGTAACAGCACAGACGAAAGGCCAGACAAATCTCGGTGTCGGTGTTTGAGGTTTTGCAGAACTGTTAGCGCAAACAATTTTCAATGAATACAAAATCAATAAAATTCAATGTTGCCTTCTTAGCAAGGCGCAAACGTGCAACCACAATGCTAATGCAATGCCGAACTTTTAAAAACCGAGAAACTTACGCTCGCCGTGGACGCAATATGAGGAGATCATTGGCATCCTGAAGCCACACGCCAAGCCATTAAAAGAATATTTCATAATGAACGAAACCAAACGAGCATTTGGTGTGTTGCTGGCAGTAACGCATGCGCGTCCGCTACATTTTTCTTTTGCTCATTTGGTGGCTCTTTTTCTTTGATGCTATCGCTTGTCCTGTTGCCGTTGATAATGCCGTGAAAAAGCCGCAGACAGGTTATTTGCGCGGTCTGCGATTTTTATTAATGTTTTATATTTGTGTGCTGTTTTCATTACCCATCTTCCTTTGTACCTTGGCCAGGGCCTCGTCTGTGCAATGCAGACAACATGAAAGCCAAGCGACCAACCGGCTAACCGATCGACCGACCACCTAACGCCAGTTAGAGGTGGGCAACTTCATTCAAAGGATATGCGGCGCATAGATAGCAGCCGAAGTTGGCTGGCCAGCGCACAGCACAGCAGGTAGAGTAGTTTGACCACAATTGCAGAGATTATTTAACTTTGCGGTGTGAATGAAACAGCAAAAAACAGCTGAGCGCGAGGCGCAGTGACAGTGGTTATGAAATATGTTATAAATGGTTATACTAAATATTTCAGTTTGAATAAGAATGTGGCTTAGTTCACTGCCAAGCAACTGGTTTCGAGCCGTTGGTATGCGTTATGAGACGACCGCAGTTCATTCTCTCCAATTGGCAATTAAACTTTTGTGCAGCATTAACACATTTCATTACTTAATTAAAATTACTTAATTAGTTAATTGACAGTACTCACCTTTGGCTGCTAAGCATATGAAGGCCTGCGCATGTTGCCTGACTTTATCGAGACTCAGATCAGGACATTCTTTACTTTTGATGGGCAGGCGGATTAATAACAATTCCAGGAAATCCAAAGGCGTAACGGAGGACAAATCCCAGCCAAGTCGACTGAGCACGTACAGTTCCCATTTCTGGAAGAGAGCATAAAGTGAGGTGTGGATTTTGGTAAAGTTTTTAAAGCAATTCAATTTTTAAAATATTCAGAGGTTCTCCAGGAGATCGGCTACAGAATCAAATTAAATGAAAGAAAATTGTATTTCAGTTTTGAGTTGAAGTAACAACGCAATAGAATGTTTCTTTAATTTTTAATTGGCTCTTAATTTAGTCAATTAACGAATTGACCGAAATAGAGTGGTAACAAAATATGCTAATTGATTCAATTCAACGAATTCCTGTAACCCATATTACCTTTGTTTCGTTCAACTTAGTTTCATTTCAATCAAATCAAAACTATTGCCAGCTAGAAGCACGAGAGCGCTAAAAACTTTGAAAAAATGGGCGTGGCCGGGCGTGGTTTAATGTACATATCTCCTAGGCCACTAAAACTGCAATACCCAAATTCACTTAGGACAATTATTATAAGAACTCTTACCGACAGCGAGATAATGGAGAGGATTACCCCGCATACTCCCCAGATAACGGTACTGTTAAAAACTACTAAAATAAATCAATAACTAAATACGCCAGAGACGTTAAAAATTACCTCCGAGAGTAGGCTTTATGGGTATAAAAATTTGGGCAATGGGTGTGGCACCGCATTCTTTTTTATTAAATCACATATCACGACCGATTTCACCTAACGTTACATTTTCCGATACAACCAAAACTTTTCAAGCCCTAGGTACCGAATATGTAGACCCAGTATATATACTTGACTTTTGATATACCTAGCTTAGGTCCCATTTAACAAGTAACATCCGGGTAATTGTATGTGGCGCTCACCGCAGTGATCGCTTCATTAGTATTTATTTATTCATTGAAGGTAGTATTGGAAAAAATAGATTAAATCGGGTCGATACTACAAACTGCTCCAATATACTCTGATATGATTTTAGTTTTTCTAACAAACCAGTGTATGTTGGCCATTCATAACTCGAGCTCTTGAATTGGCAATGGAATTCAAATTTCCTTCCATAACTCGAAGTTGTTTTTGGACTATGGTGATTCGAGATAGAGAAGTTCCACTGTAAATAGCAGCTAGCGCCCCCTGGTGGCCATTTATATGTCGACTGGTGCGTTAGAATCTGCTATCTTTATTGATTGTCCAGTGAGAATTTCATGACATTTCATGGATTGGAGTGAAGTTATTGCGTTTTAAGAGTCAGAATGTTGGTGTTATCGTTGCAAAAATGTGCTTCGAACAAAGAGCCAACAGAAATTTTGTTTTAAAATTGGTAAAATTTTTACCGAAACATTTCAGTTGATGAAACAAGTTTATGGCGATGATTGCCTATCCCGTAGCAGAGTGCTCGAGTGGTTTCAACGTTTTCAAAGTGGTTGCGAGGAAATAAATAACGATCAACATATGGGCCAATCAAAGTCCATGATCACCGGAAAGTCTGTCGTAACTGTGTGTGAATTCAACAAAAATGAGCCGAAAACATCCTTGAAATTCATGGAAATGGAATTAAACATATCCAAAACATCGATTTATTGCATTTTGATCGAGCATTTATGCTTACGAAAGGTGTGTGCTCGGTTTGTTTTGCAAAAATTGACTGGCGACCAAAATTGCTCTCTTCGATCGACGCTTATTTGACCAAAACTCACATTTTAACCATTAACCACTCCCCGCATTCACCTGATATGGCACCGTGCGACTTCTTCCTTTGCGGAAAAGTTCATTTGCCCATTCAAAAGGCTTGCACCGGCATACTGGCGGTCATACCGGCCAACGAGCTAAAACATTCGTTTGACATGCTTTTGGACCGTGCAAAAAGCTGTATTGAAGCTAATGGAGACTATTTTGAATAAAATTAATTGATTTTTGCCGAAAAAAAAAAACTATTTTATTCTGTTTTTTTTTTTTAAGTCCTGTTTACTTTGGAAATCACGTTGTATAATTGCTTCAATTCCGGCCCTTAAGGTATTTCCCTGGCTTTGATTCTTTCGACTTGTAAGAGCGTAAAATTTGCACTTACACCCGAGATTAGTGCTTCCTTACTTCTTTATTTTACTTGAATTAATTGTCTTACTTTGAAGTTAGTTTAAAGGACATTGTTTTTTTTTTAATTTTTAATTATTTTTTACCTCTTCAAAGTAGCATATATAAAGAGTTTATAATTCGAAAACAAAAAACGAAACAATTAAATACCAAAACTATTAAACAATTAAATGTTGTAAAAAATTTTAACGCTCTTAAATAATCAATTTGACAGCGGAGGTGATAATTCAGTGGGTTAATGAGTAATGGCTTTGTAATAATTGAGGAAGTCATTACAATGGAAAACGCGAAAATTTAATTTATTAACATGGTTCGACGAAAAAACTCAAAGAAAAACCTAAACGGCATTACAAAAAATATAATTAATTACAAACTTCTGACATTTGTGCGATCGGTCAACACCACAAAAGTACAAGCACAGATCACACATAAATTCGTTTGCAATAGCTAAAAGTTAGATTTATGAGTGCGCTTAGAACAATTATACATGTTTTCGATTTTTTAAATAAACTGACTTTATGCAACTTTTTATTGAAGACTGTTTAAGGCATACTTTGTATATAAGCGCACTTGTAAACGGGTCTGGCAAGCCGGTCGCTGAATGGAAGCAAGCGTTTATTGAATTTTTATAAAATTTATGCAAAAATTACCCACTTCCAAGTTGTCCCCGCATGCGGATTATATCGGTTATAAAAAATGGCAAGGCAAAAACAATTCCGTTGTTAATTGCGACTGATAAGCGGTGGGGGATATTACGTATGCGCAAGCCAGTGCAACTTTTTTTCGATTTTTCGATTTTTCTACTTTTTTCTTAGCACTTTTTTGCCGCTTCTCAACTGGAACTTAACGCTGTCTGTTCGTGCTTTTTACTCCCCGCTTTTTCTACTATTGTTTCGCCGCTGCATTATTAGGAAAAACCCAAATTGATTGCGCCATCGCCGAACACTGGCACCGCGTGGCAGCTTTTTACGAGCCCGACCAACGTTAGTTAACATACACATACATGCATATCGTATAAGTACTTATGTATATCTATATAAAGTTAAAATTTACATATTTAATATTAAATGGTAATATTAGCTGTTTTGCAGTTCTAGTTGTTTGCGGCGTTAGCGATAAGAAATTAGAGTTTTTTGCCATTAGTGGCACTGCCAGACTCGGCTGGTAGGCTTGCTACATAGCAGTGCAATTGTAGCATTTCGGCTTTTTGCAGCGGTGGCAGCGAGAACATGTGTAAGCGGTGTGGCAACAATTAGAAATTGGGTTAGCAGAACATATGTGCCACAAAATGTTGCATAGTTATTCATAATTAGCTGCAACAAGCTGTTGCAATAACAACGCTGTTATCGACATGCCTACATAGCTGTTACATGCTTTATAGAGCGGCACAAACGAGCATGCTTTGATAACAGTAAAAACTTGCGTGAACCCAGAAGTGTAACTAAACTTGAAAATAAAAAAATCTATTTCAAAGGTTCAAATATAATAAATATTGGTATTGGAAGTATAAAATAATGAGAATTAATGGGTTGAGTAAAATTTTGTATTTTTCAATAGAAAATTCATAAAAAAAACAAGTAAGGAAGGGCTAAGTTCGGGTGTCACCGAACATTTTATACTCTCGCATGATAAAGTGATAATCGAGATTTCATTATCCGTCATTTACATATTTTTTTATTTTGCTGTAAATTAATCAGATTAGATCAGTTTGTGTTCTTTGAGTATTGAATTCTATTTTCATTTATTTTAATTGCATTGAAAAGTTATAGTCCGATCACGACAATTTTTCCACAAGGGATACCTCAGCTCA